GTTTTGTATGCTTGCTTTATATGCCTCATGTTTGAGCATGTTTGTTAAGCTAATGTTGGCTCCATCTTAGCATGTAGTTGGGGTTATTTTGACATGGCATATCACTGTTTTGGTTTGGTTTTGTCACCTCTTGCATGCCTTATACACTTGTAGTGTATTTCTCACAAACTAGTCTTGTATGCTTCATGAAGTAGCATGTCTTTTTGGCTTGTTTTGAGTCCATTTCAGCATATTCTTGGTGATGTTTTGCCATGTCATACCTCTATTATGGTTTGGTTTGGTTTGGTTGGCCCTTGCATGCTTTATGCACTTGTGGTGCAATTCCATGAAGTAGCCTAACGTGTACCATGCTTTAGACTGTCATTCTAGCATGATTTTGGCTTAACTCTAAGAAGTTTTTGTCCATGTTTTAGCATGCTCTAGCTCTAATTTGTGTTGTTTTGGTCATGCATGCCATGCTTTGTATAGCTATAATGCATTCTAGCTTGTTAGCTTTGTGTATCAAGTCCACTAGCATGCATTGCTTGGCCTATTTCAATGATTTGGCATAATTCGTTATGTGATTTTAGTTCATGTTTCATGGTCATACAATTGCATCTTTCACTCATTCAATGCGTTAGAGGGTTTGCCCTTTATGCCTTAACATGAGCCATTGCGTATGCCTTCATACCTAAGCTTGCGAGCCATCATTTCAGTGGATTTTGGGGGTTATTTTGCCATTACATAACTCTGATTTTTGTTGGTGAAGCCATCTCATGCTTGGTCTTAGTAGGTGTAATGTAATCCACCTTATTTGTCTTGCATTCATCATGCCTTATGCCCTTCATGCTAGCTTGTTTTGGCTTCCTTCCTTACTTGTTTTAGACTCATTTTGACATGTTCTAGGACTATTTTGGGTTGCATTTTCCATATGCTTCATGTTTTGCATAGCTGTAGTGCAAATGCCTATGCTAGCTTCAAGCTTTGGGTACCATAGCATGCTTCATTTGTGTTGTGTACATGATTTAGCATCACTTAACATGATATTTCAGAGCATATAGGACTGCCATATTCCCACTTCATTCACCCTTTGAGTGCCTCTAAGGGTTGTGTATTTGTTGCCTTGTTTATGGCCTAGCTTGTATGCCATCTTGCCTAGGTCCTTGAGCCCTCATCTTAGCATATTTTGGTCTTTGTTTAGACCTAATTAAGCTCTGTCCATGGTTGGTTCATGCATTTGTGCCATGTTTTGCATGTCTTCTATGTGTTGCTATTTGCTAGCCTTATGCCTTAAGGACTCTAGCATGCCTTGTGCCTATTATTTGAGTGTTTTGGAATCATTTCATACCTTATTTCAGAGCCTTTAGTGTTGTCACACTCCCATGTTTATCACTTTTTGAGCACTCTTGAGAGTTGTGCTCTTAGGCCTAGTTGATGGGCCAATGCATGTGTATGCTTTGTTTTGCATTTCATGCCTTTGTTTTGGTGTTATGGCCACTGATTTGGACATGACTAAGATCTGTTGATTTTGGTTTAAGTCTATTGAGCATGTTTGCTTTCATGTTATTTGCATGCTTACATTGCCATGTTGTTGCATGCTTATGTTGCCTTACTTTGTGTATGCATGCATTAGCCTTCTTTGCATGTCATTAGCTTTGTTAAGTTGATCATGTTACATCGCATTGAGTATTCCATGTTGTTCATTGCATTGAGCATGCCATGTTCTTCACCTTGTGCATGCCATCTTACATTGCATTGTATATGCCATGTTACATTACATGTTTAACATGCTTGTTGTTGTATTGAATTTGTTTGGATTAGGTATTAGTCCAAACACGAGGAACGAGAGACATTTCATACTTAAAGTGATGAAACGTGCCTCAATTCTTGGTCGCCAACGCTCTTGATCATACATGATAGAGTTCTAGGCTTTATGTGTTTATGTGTGCATTCATTTTACAATGAATTGTGCAATTTGGGTTCTCGGCCATCATGCATCGAGAAATGATAGGGAGGGTGGTTGTGCACACATATCTTGCAAATACATTACTATACCCTTTCTTGCTCTCTATTGCAGCAAATTGGAGAAGTGCAGCAAAAACTAGTCAACCAACCAGAAAAACTAGCTGGCCGACCACTTTTTCTGGTCTGCAGCAATAGAAAGTGGTCGGCCAGTGGCTGGAAACACCGCTAGGTGGTCGGCAGCCATCCCACAAGTCCCCAAGATGAGTTAGAAGCTTTCTGGAGCTTGGTGCAAGGTTCTGAGAACAATTGCAAACAGAGGCAAGTTGGGGCATCGCAACGGATTTCCGAACGAGGCGACCGAGCATGCATATACTTCCCGCTTTGAGGCTCCGAATTTATCGCTTTACTTAGCTGATTTGATTAGCTAGTTAGCTATTCGGTTTGTACTTAATTAGTTAATGCGTTTAGCTATTCAATTTGTGTTGTAATAGCTTAATTCGTTAGCTTGTTCGTTAATTAGCTTTGTGATGTAATAATTAGTTTAATTAGCTTAGATTAGTTAGTTAGCTTATTATTCAAACCCTCCGTCGAAAAGGCCAATTGTTGTAATAAGCGTGCGTGTGTGCGATGCATGTCTTCCAACCCCCATTTCTTTCTCATTTTTACTTAACCGCTTACGATGGTTAGTTTTGAGGCATATTTCGATTAGCATATCTTATGCTCGCATGCATGCATTCATTCATCTGTCTTATATGTACTGGGCTCGGCACATCATACTAACTGCATTGTATTTCAATTCCAAATTGAATACATGTATCAAGTTCCATTCTAGAATAGCCGGCCTATTTTAGCTGCATTTTTTTCATGTGTTGCATCAGCCATATTAACATGAACTAGGATCATGCATGATTTCTAACTAGTTCTCTGTTTTGGCTCGGAGTACACTATGAGTGTTTACGCTTTAGCATACTACATATGTGTTAATGTTGCCGTGAAAGCATGCTTGCTATGAGGCTAACTGCTTATTTGATTAACTGCCTGAATGCCTGTGGGTGAAGGTTGGATTGCTTGAATTGGAACAATTCATTGAAATCTACGACTTAGCCTAATTGCGAGTAGCAAACTTCAAACCATTTTCTCAAAACGAACATGCAGTGTTTTGTTCCAACTTAGGCGATCTAGTCTATACTTTTATGTTGCGCGCATCACATAATAATTCTAGGTTAATAACTGGAATAAGAACACATGTGTTTTCCAAAAACAAAATATCATGCTTAGTACAGGCCGATCTTTGATTGGGTGAGCGGGGGTGCTCATTGCATGACCTTTCCCTCTCATACCCAAGTTCCCGAGCCGAGGCAACTTTGGTGATGACGGACACGTGACCTTAGGCACGAGTCAGGGTTTCCTAAATTTCCTCCAAAATAAAATATTTAGGTGGCGACTCTGTATCTGGCAAAGCAGTTCATATTTGGCACTTCTTTATAAAAATCAATTTTCTAAAACGATTTGTCGGATTTGGACTCTTTAGTGTTTTATCGGTCTCACATTGCACTTTGTAAGATTAGATTCAGAACCGTGACACGAGCCCGAACTGTAGTAGCTAAAGAACAAACAAATTCGCGCCCTCTCACGCGGAGCCGGGAGTTCTCGGGGCGGTCTACAAGTGTTTGTTAGATTAATGTTGGTCTAATTTTTTTCCACATTTTGTAGTTGTCTGTCTAGTTTGAAAACTTATACCAGCTTCCGAGTCTACATGATGTATGTTGGTTAGTTTGAGAATTGTTCGACATTGATGTGCATAATTTAGATGCATTTAAGCAATAAACTATTTTGTGATACATTAATTGGTTTGGTAATATTGGCGTAATGGTCAGTTTTAGTAATGGAATAAGCACATTGGCTGTTTTGTTATGCGTAAAGTGGAGTGCATGTTTGTTAGGGTTGTTTTGGTTGTTAGTGTTAGCATGTTTTGTGGCTGAAATGAAGATAATTCATACGTGTATGTAATGAACAGATAATGGTTTGTGTGGTGATATAGTTAAATGTTAGTGTGAGTAATGTTTGGTAACGTTAAAAACACCATTTGTGTATGTTAATTACATCGTATGATTATGAATTTGTTAAATTGCTCGTCTGGTGAATTATGTTTACGTTGTAGACCATGTGATTTGAACAAATGTTATCGTAAGGGGGTTGTTGGTGTGGTTGGCTTATTTAGTTCGTCGTTGTAAATTTTGTTCTGTGTTGGTATGTGTTGTGGTCCAAATATATTTTACTCTAATCAATTACATTGAAAAGGGTGTGTGGTGCTATTGGCTAATGTAATGCACAACAACACACATGGAATATAAAACAAATATGTTGGAAAACACAAATAGGCAACAAGTATGCAATGTATGACATAGGAATAGTGTGAAGGGAAATGATGTGCAAGGGGCCATTATATTTGTCGCAACAGGTGCTGAAAATATAAAATCAGTCAATGGTTAACAATTGGAAAAAAAAACAAACAGCATTGAAATAGAATGGTTTTTGTCACAAACCCAATTTATGGAAAACAAATTAAACAACTAGTCTATATTGACTCTTTACATGTCTTCCTATTGTAGTTGCCCAACTTTCCGCATCGACCACACCTAATGCGCTGTACTACTTTGCCTCTTGATGGAATCCTTTTTCGTTTGGGCCTGCCTGGTGGATGCTTCACTACTGGTAGCGTAATCATGTAATCGACTGGTGTGGAAAATGGCTTCCCCGTAGTTGGAATAGGATATATTGTTCCGTTGTATGTTGCTTTAAACGTGTCAATGTGGAATGCATGGTTTATCGATTCATGAATGTCCCTTCCACTATTATGAAACACAACAACGACATGGGAACATGGGAACCCATTTTTTTGCCACTAAAAACAAAAACACACCCGCCTGGCCACGTCCACCAAAACTGATGGATGAGAGTGGACCTCATATACATTGTCATTAGCCTAATTGACACACCAAGATCTGTTGTCATTGTATGCCGTTGCTAATTTTTTTTTTCCATTTTTGGACATATCACGCTGGGCCATTTGGTGCATTTACCTCTGTGTTCCGCCATTTGCTCCATGATTTGCCCCTTATCATATCAACCAGTCTAGTAATAGAAAGATAACGAGCATCGCGTACCCAATTGTTGAATGATTCGGCAGTATTTGAACATATCTCTCTGTAGCGTTGGCCCCTGCAAAATACCCAATGTGAATCCAAATAGAGGACAGAAACGATGACGAACAAACAACTGCTTAAAATGAACCATGAAGATTGACAAGTACTGTGCGCTCACGTAAATCATTGAGCAGAGTGTGTACTACCTGAAACACACGTTACCCCAATGTTTGGGATGTAAGTCTTTCATAAAATCCTCAATTATAATGAGGCTAGACTTCTTCAATACATCCAATTTCTCATTGAAACAAGCGACGGTGGGTGCGTAAGCACAATCTCGTAACTTGCGCATCAAGCCAACCTTGTGCGATGCGTTAACGTACTTCATGCGGTCTCGTAAATTAATTTGAAAAAGAAACAAACAATATCCATGGTGTGTTGAAGGGAATATGTTTGGCATCGATAGCAACAGTCCAATGTGGCGGTCAGATATGAATGTCAATGTCTGACCATCGCAAACAACTTCTTTCAAATTTCGAAGAAACCATTCCCAATTAGCTGAATTTTCAAAATCAACAATAACGAACGCAACCAGAAACAATCCTACAAATACATAATAAAAGCACATGGTATAATAAAAAATTGTATAATAAATTGGATGGCATGGAAATGGTATAATCAAAAGTGGTATTACAATGTGTCATGTTGTATAACCATCTGTACAATGCATACATGAGAAACTATAACAACCCTGTAATAAGAATGTGAAGATGTTTTGTATTACCATGTGTTGTCTGTTTCATGACATCACATTTGTACATGGGTAAAATTATACGAGCAAGTTGAATTGTAAAAATATCGGACGGAGCACTACATGCGTAGTTATACATAGGATAAAAAAGAAGAATAGTTCGGTACCTTGATTGTTGTCTTTAGCGGTAGCGACAAGCAAATTACCCTTAAATCTGCCTTTCAGGAATGTTCTATCTAGAAAGAGCAGAGGACGACAATGATTGAACCCATTTATACAAGCACAAAACGATATGAAATACTGAACAAACCTCTCACTTTTTGGATCAAATTCAAGATTAATGTAACCGTTGGATTTTTTTCCATAACGGACTCACTGTACCATCTTAGTTGGTTGAACGACATGGCATGATCCCAATAAACTTCACCCCTCACTTTCTTGACACCTAACCCTGCTACCCGGTAACTAATGTCCAATCCATGGTCATTTTTTAAATCAAACACCACATCCGTAGGGCGTACCAATGGCTGGCCACACACCCATTTAGTGACAACAGCAGAAACCAACTCAGACCCCATACGTGGGTTCCTATAAGTCCATACTACAACGCCACAAATATGGACACTATTGAACCTCTTAACACATAACACCCCGCTCGATGGTAACACTCGCGCATGAACTGACCAAGTACATCCCGTGGACGCTGCAAACTTGCACATTACAGTAATCCGAACCGAATCATTTTTAACATATTTGAATTGGAATCCACGTTCCACTGCATACTTACATAGAACTTCACAGAATTCATTGGCTCCCTTGTCAAAACATTGACCCACATGGGTAATCCCATACGCCCATTGAGCGAACAAAAAAGTCTTCGACCTGTTAGGGCAATATGTTGGTAATAAATTTGTTTGATCGTCATGGCCAAAATTCGGATTTCTAAGTGGATTCACACCGTCCTCCACGCAATCCACCACCACATCATTGCCCCCCACCCCAATGTTACGGGCCTGTATTAATACATTAATGTGATTTAGCCTGAACGACTTACCAAGACACAACATATTTTGGATATCATCATCACTATCCACCTTAAACTTCTTATATCCAAGGACATTAAACAACATACACACCGCCCCCGGCACCAACCCATCAAATTTTTCACAAATAACATCAACCAATTGTGCAAATGTCAACCCGTATTGCACCGAACCACAACATTAGTCTGACTGTATGTGCACACCAACAATACACCATCACCCATACCTGTAACACCAACATTTTCGAACCCGTTATGGAAAACACAATACAACAAATCGAATTTAACGTCCATATAAGAAAACCCAAGAATATGTATGTGTTATTATCATCACAAAACACAATCAAACTACTACCCTGTCATACGTATGTGCTATTACGGTCCCAACAGACCACACTGGCAGTTACCACTCAAAAAAACACAACACCACCCTTCCAACACACCAAACACCCCCCCACAGCACATCACCAACACCATCCAAAAAATAAAAAATAAAAAAATGACAACACAATCAAACTACTAACCTGTTACACTATGATGATCGTAGACCACGCTTGACGAAACAGATCAAAAAACCACCGAAAATGAACACAAACCCGTAATATCGTCGCCGCCGGAATGCAAATGTCCAACACCCCAGACAATAGCCCCAAACAACAACTCCACAAAATAATGAGACCAATGTTAAAACAATTCAAAACGAACTCCCCCCACTATTTAGATGGGTTTCCTTATCCCCTTCGCATATGAAACTATCAATTATAGAAACACAATCACACCAAGGACAACAATGTAAAATCAAAATAAATTCAAACCCATCTAAATAACACTTACCAAAAAAGTAGGACTAATTGGTGTACAAGAAAACTTTCAGGACCAAATGATTTAATTTTTTTCCATTTAGGATTTATGGGTAGTTTTTCCTTTTTTTAAAAAAATATAAAATAAACACTAGAAAATTAGTCCTGCTTGGTCTAGATTTTTTATAAATAATTTTTTTTAAACTTTTAATTCGTATTTTTATGTTTTCAGTAATTATTTTAAATTTTTTAAACTATTTAACTTTATATATTTAAAAAGTACAAAATTCATACAATTTTTTTTAAAAAAATTCATTGAGTATAACAAAATACGAAAACATGTTGAATTATTGTATTTTTTATATTTAGTAAATTTTTAAAAGTTTTTTACACAAATATTATAATTTTAAGTGTATCTAGATTTGGTATATCTAAAAAATAAAAAGTTTACGTAAAATATTTTAAAAAATCACTATAAATTAAAAAACATGAAAAACCAAAAAACTTGTGTTTAGTTTGGTTTTGAAATCAATTTTTGAGAACTCAAAATTTAAAACTTGTTCGGTTTACAATTTTTTTAAAATTGTTTTCAATAACATTTTTTTGTCAAATCTAGATACACTTAAAATTGCTAATTGATGTGTAAAATATGAGGGAACAAAAGAGAAGAAATCGAAAATTTTACGTAAAATATTTTAAAAAATCACTATAAATTAAAAAATGTGAAAAACCAAAAAACTTGTGTTTAGTTTGGTTTTGAAATCAATTTTTGAGAACTCAAAATTTAAAACTTGTTCGGTTTATAATTTTTTTAAAATTGTTTTCAATAACATTTTTTTGTCACATCATACACATCAATCGACTATTTTTTTTCTCTCTCCTCTTTTGTTCCCTCATATCTTACATATCAATTAGTAATTTTATCTCTTCTCCTCTTTTGTTCTCTCACATCTTACATATCAATCAGTAATTCAACTACAAAAAACTACAAACCACCCCAAGTTACAAAACTCTAATTTTGTAAAATTATTTCCAAATTATACAACTAAACAAATTTTGAAAATTCTTATTAAAAACTTATCTTTTAAAATTGATTCTCAAAACCAAACAAAACAGACCCCTAATTTTCAAAAAAGTGAGTTATACCCAACAAATTCTTATATAATTTTTTTGAATGGAAATAACTTTTTAAAATTTTAAATATTTATGTTTAAAATTAATTTTTATTTTAAAAAAAATTAAGAAAATAGGTTCTAATAGCTCAACCAAACATTTGAATTGGTTAAAATTGTGGGAGTCGGTTGTTTTTTTTTTTTAAGGATTGTCACAAACAATTTGCCCATTCTCAAGTTATAAGTAATGTGAAGCAACAACCAAATAATCACTCCTTTTATGTTAAATATGTAACCAAATCATATTCTATTATTTATCTATATATATTATATAAGTAAAATGAGATTTTTAGTAAGGAGCTTTGATATCTCATATTAATTTTTCTTTATTTTCTTAATTTTTTAAAGAAAAAATCTCTATTGGCTAACTTCCGTTTAACCATATAAAATAAGGGAGCAGCTTGCCTCCAGTTCGAGATCGGACTGGACGGTGTTGTTCGGCCCATGGATGCCCACTACGAGTCCCGTTTTAAAAATTCGAATCGCTCAATGTGTAGAACTTGTCGAGTACTATATGCCTGTAAAAAATCACATTGATTGGATATCGATAGCTATCTCATTTGATCATTTTTTTTTGTCAACGTTAATTTGTTCACCGTTCATTTTTTTTATACAAAATTGATTTGATCACATAGCTATCGATATCCGATCAACGCGATTTTTTACAAGCATATAGTACTCGGCGAGTTTTACACATTAACGATTCAGATTATCAAAATGGGACCCATGATGGGCCTCCACGGGTCAAACAGCACCGTCCAGTCTGATCTCGGACTGGAGACAAGCTGCATCCTGAAAATAAAATTCTGACTACTATTCCACTTGTGCTATGCAGTGTTGTGTTTACAATTATTTGTATATATGTGAATAGCGATTTTTAATTTTTTTTTCTTTGCACACAGAAAAATGAATATAACAAATGCAGCATATTTTCAATCAATTATTTTATGTTTGCATTTATTCAAAATTTAAAAATAATGTGTCGGCAAAATTTATAACTAAATTAAGAAAAAAATTATTCCTAACGATATTTTTTTACTTCTATATAAATACTTTAAAAAATAAACCTGAAAAAGATAGTCAATATAAATATTATACATTAAGTAAAAAAATGTGGTTAGCAATTATACTTACATAAATTTACTCTAGTTTTAATTTCAAATTTAAAAAAAAAAAACTATTTTAAAAGCATTTAATTTAGCTAGTGTCAAATTACTTCCTTATTTGTTTGTTTATTTGCTTTGAGAGTTTTGATATTTGATCTTTGCTCCATGTTTATCGTATTGTTTTATTTATTTTTCTTCTTCTTACTTGATTTTCGCATGATACTTCTTTCATAGTGAATCTCCAAGTGTATTAGTGAAAATATCATACACTTAAAATGCACAAAATTGCAATATATAGGGGAAAAAAAGAAAAAAAAAAGTAAGTAATTGCCCAAAACTAAAACTACTTTAAGAAAAAATAAAAAATAAAAACAAAAATTAAATTGTTTGAAATAGAAAATGATTTATTTATTTATTAATTAATTTTTAAAAATAAACTTTTAAAGAAAACAAATAAAACTATATATAAAAAAAAAGTACAGAAACTAAATATAAAATATAATACAAAAAATAAATAAATTATAGGATTTTCAAGAAGTGAGACTCACAAACAAATTTTGTAAAATCTTATCTATTCATATATATTTTGTGTATATTTTTTGTACTTTTAATCCTGAGAATGATATTGAAATAATTTGTACTTTTTGCATTAATTAACTAGATAATCGCCACAAAAGGGGAAGACAATCTTTATTTTTCATCACAATAATTACATAACTCAATATATAATTTTAATGTCTTTCATTCTTCTACACGTCCAATTCTTTATTAATATTATAATGAATGCAAGAACCAACAAAAATGAACATTTGAGAAAATAAAGAGATGTAGTTTGAGACATTTCAATTGCTGAATTCTATTAATTAATAGTTATTAGGTTTCAATAGTTAGGCTTCTAATATTTGTTAGCCATTAAGACTGAGTTATTTGGTTTCATCTATATTCACTCGATAATTTGATAGTGGACATGTATTAAGCCTTTACACAAATACTTAGTACATTTTTTGAGCATTATTAATGAAATGCACAGTGTAATTTTTTTTCTTTTTTTACATGTTATTTTTTAATAATATTTTATATTTTTTAAAATATTTTTTTAATATACAAATTATTTTTTACAGTATAATTTTTTTTCTCTTTTTTTTTTTTTTTTGCAATTGGCACCTGTTATTTGGAAGAAAAAAAACAATAAGAATTTTGTTTTTGATTTTTTTAACAAAAATAATATCTTTTTTTTATTTTATTTGATTTCATCTATATTCACTTGATAATTTGAGAGTGGACACGTGTCAAGCCTTTACACAAACACTTGGCACATTTTTTTTTAGTATTATTAATGAAATGCATAGTGTAATTTTTCTCTTTTTTTTTTTTGCAATTATAACCTGTTATTTTTTAATAAGAATTTATATTTATTTTAGATATTTTTTTAATATATAAAATATTTTTTAAAATAAA